CCGACCGGCCCACCCACGCACCCACTCACACTACCCAGGCATGCACCCACGCCTGCACCCACCCAGCCACCCACCCCGCGCATGCGCGCACACACACACACACACACACAAGTAGAGCTCAGGTGTCGTTGGCAGACGTGGGCTTCGTCGAAGGATCCAGGGATGCCCTCCCTGCTTCAGATGTGTAGCTTTCGGCCTGGTCACCCTGCCCTCTCCCAGTTTGCAATGTCGTGTGCCACAATCAGCAACTGATGATGTTAGTAGGGCTACATGAGGCGGACGGGAGTTTCTGCATAGCCGTAAACTTACTGTAAGTCTGCAGGAGAGGAGCTTCTCCTTATACTGGGCCCTGGAAGCTACACCTACACTCCCTGCCAGAATGGGGAGCCATGCGATCACCAGCCTCTTGGTGATCGGCTCCAGTTCACCACCTTACTTCCCCGGATTCGGATCCCGAATGTGCTTCTGTTTGAGTTGCGAGTTCTTGGGGCCTTTTGGGCCTTTTTTCGTCGGTCTGTGCAAAGCACCAAGGTTTAGGGTCATGCTCTTGGGCCCCACCGAGACCGGCAAAAGTGCCTTCCTCAACCAGGCATTTGCTGCGTTGGAGCCTCTTAGGTTGATGTGTTGGGGTCTTGGATGAATTCGCAAGAGTGTCCCTATTTACAGTCGGTGTATGTCTTTTACTCTAGCTGTATAGTTACTATGTTACTATACTATATCAGGAATCAAGATATACCAAAACCTGGTTCCAATCATTCAGACCCTTACATTAAGTGCTTCTTTGACATCTTGGGTTCTGTCTGGGTGTGATTATCCCATGAAGTACGGTTTCTGAATGCTGCAGCCTTTCTGCCTGGGGAAGGAGGCCACCAAAATCGGCAGCTGATGAACCGACAGAGAGAACGTGTACCTGCCCGTGTCGTTTTACCAACCAAACCGGTTTGATTGTGCACATGCGCATGTACCCGCACTTCTGCAGTCCGATGTCTCTGTAAACAGTGCATGTTCCTGTTCCGTTCGCGAGGCAACGACTTGTACCTGGATACCGGTGTACTGCCCGACGATAGGCGTGGACTTCGAAATCTGCAAATATCATGCAGACCCCGGCTGAAATCTATGAAAAGTATGGGGTCGGGCGGCATAGAGGTGTCCCTCTCGAGCTCATCACTTCAGCCCTGTTATAGTTTTCCCACATAAGCCCCCAAATCCGAAGACCGCGTATGAAAACATGCTATGCTACTTGCGCTGGCCAAGAGCTCAGGAAGGCTTTGGCAACCTACGACTTCAGATGCTGGACACATCTGGACAAGAACGCTTCCGGCTGCAAACCGTAGCGCATTGCCGCAGAAACTGCGACGGGTGCCTCAGCGTGTTTGCTAGTCTTGGAGACGGCGTTGTGCGGGCACCGAAGCGACACGAAGTAGAATCGACCAGACAGAGACGCGGATAGATGGCATTTTGTCCCCGAGGTATTTGGTGTTCTTCAACCGTACGCGGCGCGAGACCTTTGATATTCTTCCACAGTTCCTGGGTTTTTGTTAAGGATTGTAAGTTAAGTTACCATAGTAGGGATCTACAATATATAATATGCTTTCCTTACCAGAGTAACTTACATAATTTATCCCTTAACAAGAACCCAGGTTCCTGCGCCATGTGAACTCCATGGGGTTCAGGCGCCCGGAGACGATCATTGCCATTATCGGAGCCTTTGTCGTGACTGGTATGAAGTGTTTGTTCTTCTGGTACTGTAGATTTCCTTTGTGGAGCACTAAGTTTTGGGTTTTGTGACCTTTGATGAATGTGCAGATTCGATGCGAGACCAGAGAAAGGGTATCACTGCATGAACCTACAGCTATTTCCCTGAACCCTAAACCCTACTGTCCACTCGAAATGGCCTAGGAAGCCGGCGTGTAGCGGAGAGCCTGCTTACAGGGACCGGGATCAGTGAACCCGAGATCTGACGAAAACACGCAGAGCAGCGAATGTTTCTCATGTTTCTCATGAGCTGGAAGTCTCGATGGTGTGCCCCTTCCTCTAGAGTCTAGAGGATGGCATAGGCATAATAATACCCCAGTAGAACTACCTGTTTCTCAAGAAGGTTCCAGCACTATCCTCGGCTGTCATGAGGAGCAGTTGCCACTAGGATCGGAGAAACGTGGCATCCTTGCATGTTGAAGAAGCATTATATACACTCAAGGCCCCCTACTGACACCTTTGCTGACGACATCGGACACAAAGTACATTGATGTACATGAGCATGAGGACGAAAGAAACGGTTCGGTGGTGGCGGCCCATCCGCACATCATGTGATCACTGATCAAGTCCGGCAGAGGCAGCGATCGGATACCAGATGCTAGGAGTGTTCCTGCTTCGCTTCCACTGTGCGAACGGAGAGGCACAGCAAACATGGGACCCGGGAGTGGGGCGCGAGGGGAACCTGTCTTAGAAAGCCGGAGTTGCAGCCACCGAAGAACCCGCTCAGGAACGTACTCAGATCTGGAGACGGTAGTTTCCTATGAGGAGGCGAAGGAGTTTGCTGACTCTAACGGCGCGAGCTACCACGAGGCTCGGACATGTCCAATGTACTTGTTGCCCATCTTCGGTTAGCACAGAGACCCCGCTCGTTAAGAAACCAAATATCCGCTCCCGGATCAAGCGCATTTGCCAACACCGCTTCATTTAAATGCTTGTAGACACATCGCCACAAGGGCTGGACTCATCTCAGAATCTCAGAGCTCCCACACGGAAAGCGTTTATAGCAGTGTCGCAGCAGGGTGTCCAGAAGATGTTGTTTAACTTCTTGAGGTTCCTGAGAATCTGGCCCGCTTTATGTTATGGTTTGTGCTGCTTTCGCCTCGTCTTTGACCGGTATGCTGCCCGGACCTTAAACCCTTTCAGCACAAACCTTCTTGGTACTGACATCCCGACCGCGAAAGACTGTGATCTGCCAATTGTAGTCCATAGAATCCAACTTTGGAATCGGCATACTAGCAGGTTTTCCCTTGTAGTGTCGTTGCATTCTAGGAGGGGAATGCATGTGCTGATATGTTTGCCTTTCAGCTCTGTCATTCCCGCTCGAGTCGTTTCACTCCACAGACCTCGAATCACATGCCTCGCCTGGGTTGTCCGAGTGTGAGCGCCGAAACGCCAAACCTTATACCCTAAACCCAGCACCCTACGCCAGGTGTGCTGTTGGGATGGGCCATCAGTGCACAATGCCGTTTTCTGTATTCTCGACCAGCTCGTCGAGTCCGAGCTGGAAATGGATAGGGTGCGAGACCCCGGCTAGCCATGAACCACTGTTCCTAAGTCTTCCTTCTTCCATAACAATGATAAGGACAACAAGAGCAACAACAAGAGAATAATCATACTCATACGAGTAATAACATACAATTCTACCGTAATTTTTCCGTGCTCTAGAGTAGTTCATTACATGCAGTTCCACCATATTTCCTACTCGAATAATGATGAGTTAGGCCACATTCCTTAACTCTGAAAGGGAAGTTTCGGTGGAGTTGGTGTGGGATTGAGGGTTTAGTCGAGGGTTTACGGTTCAGGGTTGAGGGTTTTGGGGTGTAGGGTTTAGGGTTTACGGTTTGGGATTAAGGGTCTAAGGGTATGGTATGGGGTTTAGGGTTTACGGTTCAGTGTTGAGGGTTTGAGGGTATACCTAAGGGTTTAGCATTTAGGGCTTACAGCCACCAGCTTGGTGGAGCTCTGTTTCTGTCAGTCTCACCCTCTGGAGAGTCCCAACAGCGATCGGAAGCCCGGACCACAAGAGGTGTGGGAGCAATATAGGGGCTTGAATAATTACCGACACTGTTTTGGCGGGGTTCCTTATTATAAAGGTATAGTATATAATTATTATAATGGACCCCAAAGCCCTACTTACTTGAACGATTGATTAAGGCCCCTATAGTATGCGCTTCAAGGAAAATGTTCCTTCGCAATTGTGCATGAGCGATTGTTACTGGTAGGTCGAATGCTTGAACACATCCGTCGGCATTATCTGCCTGTACAGACAATCGGAGATGTTCAGTCAGAGTGATTTGCTATGCTTGGAGGTAGATGTACATTGATGTACAGCTGGCCCAGCAGCTCGAGGCGTCGATGGTCGGACTTGTTTCGACTACACGTCTTTGATCTTCCTTGACCAGGGAAGTGTGCCAGTGCCGAAAAGAACTTTGCCATATCATCCTTCACCCAAGTTGGCGCAGCGCCCGCTACCTAAAGCCTAAATGCAAAACCGGGCACAAAACCCCCGACGCCGGCGAAGCACCGAACAAAACGGCGAAGCTGCCGAGGCAGCCGCCACCCCCGCCGATGCCACCTGTCCAGCCCTTAGAGGTTTTGAACATCCCTGGGACTGCATGTTCCTTAGGCATGATGCCGCATTTTCGGTTTGCTATATACAGTGCGTGCACAACTCTTGGCAGCCGCTTTATCATGTCAATACACGGGTAGTCTGGTAGTATTGACATCGGCCACTACTCTGGTCGTATAATAGTAGCCGCTCAGTAGCCAGCAAAGCTCTGTGAACGAATCTGGGCGACTGTTACTCATGTAGTTGTCCTGACGTGACCAAGGACTGGAGCGAGTGGGCTTGGGAGAAGAAGAAGACGGAGCTGGCTGCCGAGCGCCTGCGTCGTCAGTGCCAAGAGGTTTGGAGTGGGAGGGGTGACACGAACCTATGCTTCAGGGCTTTTTTTGGAGCTCATGCACGGCAGTCGGTTTTGAACCGACTGCTGCCCTTCGGTCCTGGAATCCGTTGCGCACGTCTGGGCGACTTGCATTTAGTATGGGGCTCGTGACAAGGGCACTCAACTATTCAACCTATATCTCCTGTGAAAGCTATCCCAGGGTGTCAGGTTTGAAATCGACCTTCCCGCTCAGCTCCCTCACACGACATACATCACTCTGTAGTAACTTCCAAGACGAGAAAGCCCCCCCGCAGGGTTCTCGGTTGTCAAGTGTGTGTAAACAAGCAGCGCTGTGACAAGTATCCTTTTCTGTCTGGAGCAAGAAGCCTCTGCATTTGCTTCTCTGCACACATGCATGCGAAAAGCACGCGCATGCGAATATGTTCTCATTCTTTGAAACCCTCGAACAAACTTAGAGCCTACACCCATCTGCATGTGGTTGTGTCCTGAAGGAGGAGGAGCGAGCTGCTCCATCTCCACCCCCCTGCGCCGCTCCACCAGGGCGTGGAGTGCCTTCCCCCAGCGAGGTGCCGCCTAGGGATGCTGACATGGATGGATGGATTTATGATAATCCATGCATATAAATCTAGGTGCACGTACAGATTCTATTTTATTCCCTTCCATCCTGCCCTGTTCCTGCCTGTTAAATCCTGTTGCATGGCAAAAATTTTACTGTATACGTCCTGCTTACCTGATTCATGGATGCGTTCATGCATGTATGAATGCATTTTGCCGGTGCTACTGCTTTGGGAGACAAAATAAGCCACATCGAGTCAGCGAGTTGCTGATGCGACATTTGCCGCAGTGTGCGCTACTGTCCACTCTTTGGCTTCACACCTAATGTAGGGGCCTTAATCACTTGGAATAGGGTTCGGGATGTTCCTCATGATATGTATAGCGTAATATCACCCAAAACCTTACTCTGATGATTTTTAAGGCACCGAAATTAGAAAGCCCCAGTCCCGACAGGAACCCCATAACACCCCATGCCATAGAAGCGTTTTATGGGATGGTGTATCCTAAAGATTAGATGCCTAGGCCCCAAGCCCGACAAGGCCCCACATACATGCAAACCCTTTTCTACAGCCTAGCAACCCACAACCCTCAAATCCCCACACCCTCAAAACACAGTATACATGAAATGAATATAGGGTATTATATATATATATACAAACTAATTCATAGATAGATATTATTTCTTCAGGTAGATAGATCGATGGGGAGTCCGGTACAGGACTTGCCCAACAACTGGCGGCCCTGGCGGTGCCCGATCTTCCCATGGCAGAAAGCAGAGGAGCGAAACAAGTCGCCCTGGTCCTTCAAAGAGGGTTTAGGGTTTTGGGTTTAGGGAGGAACAGCCAGCTGCTTATGATGATAAGGCTCTGGTTTGATGAAAGGACTGCGGGGTATGGGTTGAAGACTTTGGGGTATCGAAGAAAACCCTACACCGTAAACCCCGGCTGTCTTTACGCCTAGGGGTCTCGTCTCACGAACTGAACAAGGGGGCACAAATGCTGTCACTGTCCAATATCCGGTCTCGGATTGACAGTTTACGCTGTCGGGGGTTTAGGGGTTGTGTGTGTGTGTGTGTGTTTTAAGCTTAGAGTTAAGACTTCTACTTTGGTTTAGGATTGAAGGGATTACGGGTTTAGGGGTTCTAACAAGGATAGGAAGCAACCTCCCGGCTCAGAGCCATTCCCAGCAATTCTTGACATCTGTCGTCATTATGATCATTGCGCCATTGAATTCAGTCTTCGTGTTGTTCGGGAATGGAGGGGCAGAACCACTGAGACTCTTAAAGATTCCCGTAATCAGATCACAGTGATTACCCCAACCGTCCCAGTTGCTATGAATCTTATGGGCTGGTAGTCTACTTCTTAAACCACGACTGTGATCTGCCGAACATAGTTCCCAAAATCCAAAGTTCCGTTAGGCCGTATGCCGGTGTCTTCAGAATCGTTTGGATTTTGGGAGGGGAATGAGTGTAGATGTATCAGTCTGTGTTCAAGTTGTGTGATGCAGGATCATTCCTATAGGATAAGTCTCACTCAACAGACTCCGAACCACATGCCTCGCCTGGATTGCCCGAGTGTGAGCGCCGAAACCCTGGCTGGCACCACATGCCTCGCCTGGAGTGACCGAGGCTGAGCGCCGGAACCCTGGCCTCCAGAAACATCAGAGCAAATGGGAGTTTCCGAAAATAGGGGTACCTTATTTAGGGGCCCTTATAATCAGGATCCTACTATTTAGGGTACTATATCAGGGTCCCCTGTTTTCGGAACCCCCAAATCGCATCACAAAGCCTTCGGAGTTGAAGTCGGCCCCCCAAAAAACAAAACACATCCCCAAACCCTGAGAAGCATCGCGCATCTCATCTGCGCGATGAGCCTCGTTAATTGTTGAGCCTGATATAGAATTCCCAAAGCCAGACCCGCGGACCTAACCTCCCCGCCCCCGCTACTATAAGGGGTAATTATTATGGAGGTACTATATAATGTAGGGGCCTTCATAATTAGAATAGGGTTTTGGAGCCTTATACTGTGACATATATACTGTACCCTACTTGCAGGTTCATGGGTAGTTATAAGTGGGATTATAAGCTCCTTAATGTAGGTCATTCGTATGGTTGCCCTACTTACAACCCCACTTATCACTACCCCTGAACCTTCAAGTAACCTCCCCTCCCCAGCTCTCGAAACGACTCCGGTGAGGAGCGCCGGCCCTCGAAGCCTTCGAGGAGGTCTCCGGGCCAGCCATCCTCCGCTTCCGAAGCCAAGGAAGATCCAGGTCCATTGTTTGGGGTTTCGGGTGGTTTTAGGGTTTAGGGTATAGGGGGGGTTTTAGGCGCCTCGGTTCCTGGCATATGCATAGTCCAGGTGTAGAAAGGGGTTTTTGGCTTTAAGGTTCAGGGGGGGTTTCAGGTTTGGGGTTTAGGGGGGATTGTTGTTTTAGGGTTTAGGTTATTTTAGGGTTCAGGGTTTGGGGGGGTTTTAGGCTTTAGGGTTTAGAGGCTGAGGCAGGCAACGTGGAGGCACTTCAGAGAGACCTCGTTCAAAACCCGTTCAAAACGGGGTTTAGGGGGTGTCAGGGTTTAGTCAGGTTTTTGGCTTTAGGGTTTAGGGGGTTTTAGGGTTTAGGGTGGTGAAGGGCTTCCAGGGTCCAAGTGTTCTATAAGGGTGCGAAGGGATTTCGGGGTTTTGAGAGGAATGTAGGGCTTCAGGTTGTGGGGTGTTGGGTCTGGCATTCCTATACCCTCACATAGGAAAGCTCGGGGCAGGGCTTGGGTTTCACAGGTTCACAGACACGGTGGGCTCAACGCATGTGATGGCTCATGTTGCGGGTTCACATTGTTTCACGCCCAAGAAGGCAGCAGCCCTGTTGAGAGTGCGATTCAGAGAATTTCATTGGTTTCTGTCATGGCATGCGAAAGTCGTGCAGGTCCAAACGAGCCAGGCGCCGGCTTCGGCCGTGCATGGAACTGGGGCGCTGGCATTTTCTCGGGCTGCTCGTCAGCCAGGAAAGCCTCTCCGGGCTTTGCAGGGAGCTTTCCGTCCTCCCAAGGAGCTTCACATTCATAACCCGAACCCCAGAAACCCTCGCCTGGGCAGTCCGAGCGCGAGTGCCGAAACCCTACACTGGCCCTACACCCGAAGGTGAAAAATCTCTCTTTCGAAGCCCAGGTCACAGCAAAGTCGGTGCTTTAAACAGCGCCGAGCTTGCGCGGCAGGAGGTGCAGGATTTGGCTGAGGGCTAGGTGACTTCACCACTGAATGATTGCAAGTGTTAGAGCGTCGCGCCTTCGCATACGTATCTATCTATCCGCCTATCTGTCTTTTAATTCATATGTGTATGTATGATATATATATATATATATATATATATATATATATATATATATATATTATATTATATATTATATTCTTTCTTTCTGGGTAGGCATGGGTCCCGAGGACGCGCCTCTCGCAGCAAATTCGGAGGTGAAACAGAGAAAGGGGAATCCGACGCACAGCTCAATCCGAAGGAGAGCAGATGCAGTCAGACTCAACCCGAAAACCACCTGATGCGAGCCATGCCGGGAGAGGATCCAGGCACTTCTGGGCAGTGACAGAAAGGCGGATGGCGACAGGGTGCGAAAGGGACTGCTGGAGGGCAGTACCGATGACATCGCAAGCAGCCTCAAGCCAGTCAACTTGCCTGCGCGCGGCGGCCAAAGGCACGCTGGCACGGAAGGGATAGACAAAATCCCTCAACGGCGGCTCGCCAATACAGGTGGAAAGCACAGGCCCGGAAAGCACAAAGCCAAGCCTTCCTGGACCAGAGGAGGGCAGCGGCGGGCACACAACTGCAGGGGCAGGCGGGTGCTTGGGGGCTCGAAAATCCTCGCACCACAAATCCGGATCGAGCAACAACCGCACATCCGCGGAAAGAGCCGCCACTGCGTCCGGATCCTGCAGCGGGCCGGGCGCCTTCTGCCATGCATCGAGGGTATTACGTAATACCTCGAGGGGCTCAACAAACTCAACCACGGCATCCCAGACCTGTTCCTGCGCGGGCGAGTCGAACCCTTGCAGCACAGTAAGCAGGCCAGGATGGGCCCAGGCGGGGTCGAGCTCGAGCTCAAAGGGGCTCCAGTCACCCGGGGCGAGCAAGGGGGGCGCCTCGGGATGAGCCTCAGGCAAGGAGGTCAAAGCCGTCTTAAAGGCACCCCACCCGCGGCGGCACTGCGCCGACGCAGCTAGATGGCGCTTAAGCCTCCCAACAGTAGCGTAAAGCTTCCCACATGCCTGGCAAAGCGGCTTGGTACACCCCGCGACAAGCAGTGTGGATGGCGCACGATACGCGTGCAGACGGGAGGCGTGGCAAGCCCATGCAGTCCGACTAGGAAACGCAATCTTGCATTGAAGGCACGCTTCAGGGTACCGGGGCGCAGTGTTGGCAGGGGCAGGGTCCCCTCCCGTTAACTGCTCAAGCGATCGCCGGACCGCTTGTAACGCGGCATAGCAAGAAGTGCGAGCGAGCTCCAGGCCACGAGCTCGCTTGACATAAGCCTTGAAGATGTGCGGGCGGTGACGGAGCAAGTGCTCCCAGTCCGGCCACGCAGTGTCGGGGTCACCGAGCTTGGAGGTGGCTCTCACCCAATTGTGGACCCAGAGCAGGGCCTCCCTCAAGTAAGCGATGTACGGCGGGTCGCGCCGAATGAGGGCCCACAGTTGGGGAGGCGCTGCATTAACCACTTGGAGCAAATACCGAGCACGCTCAGTCAGGAGCAAAACCTCAGGCGGCGGCTGACCAATCAAGGCACAGATGGTCGCATGGGTAAGGTGTTGGTCCCCTCCATGGGGAATCGCGAGTGTCTGTCGGTAGAGTGCCAGGACCGTCCTGAAGAAGAAGGCGTGTTCGCCCTTACTGAGAGCGGGCCATGCGCCTGCTGCAAAGAGCAGCTTGGTCATGACATGCGTTGACAAGAGCAAGCCTCTCCGACGCAGAGCGATCCGGCCGGTCCGAAAGACCTTGGTACGCCCCTGCTGGAATGCGGACCACGCATGCGCAGCACGATGCCTCAACTCAGCCATCAGAGACATAGCGGAGGTAACCTTGACCCCCAGGTGACGATAGGACGTCACTAAGGGAAGAAGAGCGGCACCTTGCTCCTCCCTCATGACCTGGAGTACCGGCTTATCTCCAAAGAGGGCCCTACGAACCCGACGGGACCCAGCTCCACGCGGAACCACAATCGCAGCTGTCTTAGTGGGTCCGAAACTTAGGTCATAGCCGTGAGCATAGAAGGCGTCGGCTAAAAGGCCGCACTCCGATGCAGTGGCAAAGGCCGCGTCCTTAGCTTCCGGCACGATGATGCATTTCGCCAGATCATCGGCCCAGATCACATCAGACAAACGAGTAGAGGCATGCCATTGTGCAGGATCGGTGGTTGGCGGGGAGAGGTCGCACAGACCATCCCAGTACACAACGGGCGAATGCTCGAAGTGGTGTCCATGGGCACCCACATCGGGCCTCGCCGCATCCCTCCAGTGCAGCATACGGGGCACTGTCACTCCGAAAAATAAATCTGCAAAGCTGGAGCCCGGTCGCGATCCCTGGCGGGTGACAATTGGGTGAGAATCGCCCGCAAGGCACATCCAGGTGTTGTTGTTCAGCTCGGCCGTGAGCGTCTCGATCCAAGGCGAGGCCTGAGATTGGGTCATGGCGGAGGGTTGAGAAAGGGCCTCCTCAAGATGTGCACGGTCAGCTAGGCGGGGCACATTCTCATCACGCTCAGTGCCGTGTTTGCGCGCCGTCAGGGCTCGGACAGCAGAATAGTAAGCAGATGCCACATCGGCGAAGAGCACAACACTCGTTACGCCAGTGCCGGTACAGAATCTGTGAAAGGCCCTGGTAAGGTGCGATCCTAACACAACAGATGTCCGTTTAAGCCCGCCAAGCTGGGCCGGCGCGGCATTGCTGCTGAAGACATCGTATAGACCCGGTCGGAAGGCCTTGTGCAGGAACTTAGCCAGCGTCGGTAGGAGCATGATGGCCCTGTAGCTAGCACACTGGGAGGTGTCCCCTTTGCCCTTGTAGAGCTTGCTCAGGGTACCTCCTTTAAACCCAATGGGCTCCTCGCAGTGTAAGCCAACCTTCAACAGGAGAGGCATCAGTAACCGGACTAGCCCCTGAGGGGCAGCATGCCCGATTTCAGCAGGCAACCCATCGGGGCCCGCGGCTTTGCCTTTGTGAGAGGCGGCAATAACCTGGAGAAGCACGTCAGGCGAGGGAAGATCCTCGAGCAAGGAGGGACCAACCAGACTGCCACTATGGGCAGGTAGGTTCGGCAAGTCTTCTGGCCTGGCATCGAAGCCATCTTCCTGTTGACGGAAGTGCTCCCGCCAACGCAGGACAATTTCCTCGGGGGTCTTGCATAGACTGCCGTCCTCCTTTTGCAACATAGGCAAAACATCAGGCAGAAAGGGCTTCCGCCGCTTAAGTCCCATCAAACGCTGGATGGCCTTGTTAGCGTGGGGATCATCCCTCTGCACATCATCTGCAAGACCACTGAAGTATGTGGCTCGGTCCTGCTTACATGCAGACTTCAGCTGGCCAGACACGGCACCGAGATGGCGGCTGTAAAAAGCGCCGGCAACATGCGCCTCTCGGGTCCAAGCAGAGTCGAGCATGCGCAGGAGAATGCGGCCATCGGCGCACGCCCAAGCCTGGAAGGCTGCAGCAAGGAAGTGAAATCGCAATGCGCTTTTGACTCGGGTGCAGGCTTTACGCAAGCGCGCCACCTCTGCATGTAGCGCCCACGTGGCGTCAGTCAGATAAGACCGGTGACGACGGCCAGGGCGCAGGGGGAAGGCATCAGTGAGGGCACCCTGGAGGTAATTGACCAAAGTGGCTGCATGAGCGTGGGGAGATGCTGACCAGGGAATAAGCGGAGCATGCTGGAAGACCTGCTCAACAGCCGCCCGCCCCTGGGGCGTCAGCATGGCCCTCCCATCAAAACGCCGATGGGCCGTAGCTCGCGCAGGGCCTGACAGGTTCATTGAGAGATCAATCTGGCAGCAGGTCGCAATGTGGTCAACTGTGGCCTGTCCCACATGCAAGGTCGAGTCGGTCCAGGTCCTCACGCAGCCACTCTGCCACGCTGTCGGACAGGCGACAAAGTCGATTCTGGACAAAGCACCATTACGCTTCTGCACATAAGTGCCTGAGGGGCCGCTGTGGCAGGAGGAAAAGGTGCACGGCAACCAGAGCTGATGAGAGCACAAGAAAGAGGCAAGCAGTGCTCCGGAGTCATCTTGAACTTCGGCGGCATGGTCCCCTACGGCATCTGAAAGGACCGAGCCAAGGGAGGCGTTCATATCACCCCCTAGAAGGATAGGGGAGGCGTGTGCGTGGGTATTGCAAAGCCTGTGCGTTTCGGCCCACCACTCAGCTATCGCTGTCGCGTCGCACGCACGGTGCGGAGCGTGCACGGACGCGATGAGAAGGCTGAAACCTTCCTGCCTGAAGAGTAGAAGGAGCCGCCGGGGGTCACGATGCACGACAATGCAAGCGTCAGCAGTGAGGCGTAGGCATCGTTTGCCTTCCTCAGGTGTAAAAAGGGGATGTCCATCTAGCAGCCAAACCTCTATTCCTAGGGTGCCGTTAATGCTTCCGGAGGCATACCGGAGGTACCCTTGCGTCCTAAGGGTTCCTTCCTCGGTACGAGCCTCCTGTAAGAGTGCAATGTGAATGCCCGCCTCCTTCAGGCCCTTTGCCAACAAAGTAGGACGGGCCGCTTGAAAGGCAAGGCCTTCCGCAACAGCACCTTCAATAGGCCGGCTGTTCAAAGAAAGCACATTGAAAGAACAAACTCGCAACGAGAAGGATCCCCATCGTCCGTCACTGGCGGAGGTGGAGGAGGCTGGAACTGGCAGGAAAGGCGCCACAAGCTGAGCGGGCTGCAGCCCAAGCGAATCGCGGCAAGGGGGGAGTGCGCCAGCAGCGGGAGGGGGGTATGCAATGCTGCGGGAAAGGCAAGCTATAGCAACTGCTGCCCAACTGAGAGGAGAGCCTCCGTCGTACCACCATGGCCGAGGGTCCATGCCAGATGGCCACAGGGGCGACCCGTAGCGGCACCCCGAGCGAGACAGTCTGCCAGTTCATTGCCCAAGCACCCTTGGTGTCCACGGACGTGGCGGGCCGGGATGCCACTGGGTGACAGGTCCCTACAGAGAAGGCCAAGGCTGCGCAGCACAGCTGCAACACCGGCGGACGCACCGCCATATGTGCCCTGGAAGATTCCTAGAGCCGATAAGCAGTCTGAGCAGATGACAGTCGGCGAGTGATGATATCTGGTGAGGCTTAACCAGGCGGCCGCAATCAGGGCGAAACACTCAGCAACAAAGGCCGATGGTTTATCCTCAGGAAAGGCCCAAGCGGGGACTCGTCCCGACAAGGCCGCACAGGAGCCAGATGCGGGCGAAATAAAGAAACATGCCCACGCACACGAGGCTTCAGGTTGAGGCGCTGAGGCATCGAAAGATCCATCAGTGAAGCAGTGAATGTCGTTGGAGACAAAATCGGACGGCCGAAATTGCAGCTCGCGACAGGCGTGCAGGTCACGCTGGCTGATGGCAAAAGCAAGGTCGTAGCCATCCCCCGGAGAACACGTAGGCTGCAGAAAATGTTGGATCTGGCCACGTGTGCATGGGAAGCTATAGGGCCCAAGTGCGAGCTGTTCGTGCACTCGAAGCTGCAGCAAGTCGGGGAGGTCAGCAGGGCACCACGGGTGCGGTTGAAGTGTCTCCCCTAGCTGCTCCCAAAAGTTCCAGTTCCAGTTAGCATCACCAGATGGAGCACAAACTGGGATGGCACTGCACAGGGAAAGTTGCCAACGGGGAACGACGACCTTAGCAGCCTGGAAATGCTCGTGGCAAGCTTCAAGCAAAGTTGCAGCAAGGAAGAAGGCCTGGCACTCTGGGTGACGGGAGCTCTCCCATAGAAGCGTGAACAGAGGGTCGAAATCAGGCTGCAAAACAAGGTCCTCTGTAGCGGGGACGCCCAAAGCTGCTGGCAGCCCGGCAGGCACGGGCCGCGAGACATCACCAAGAGGTGCGGGTCCGGCAGGCAAGGCCCGGCATGGTGTCGGAAGCGGCCGAGGTGGTGCAAGATCACTGTGCACGGCTTCCCTGGAGCCATCTTTGCATACAGACACAGATACAGAAGGTCCGCCAGAGGGTTGCAAAGAGGCCAACATATCAGGCTCTCGAGGGTAACTGGGCAATTGCACCGCGGTGCCCGGCTGAACACAAAGGCCGACAATGACGGCCGCTAGCCTGAGGTAGGACGGGAGCACAACCACAGCAGAACGCCGACAGCCCCGTCCCCCAAGCTCATTGACACAAACGGCATCATCTGAGAGAAGGCGGAAGCTGCGACGCACAGCAGGAGGCAGGGTAACAGGGGTGAAGCCGCAGGCGCCCGGGCAAAGGGCATCTTGAGCATTGCCAGCGCGACCACACATGTTCCTCACATCTCCGTGCCCAGTGGGCTGGTTGGGGCTCTCATTATGGCTCCTAGGCTGTTCTCTCCCGGAAGTGGTGCCACGGGAAGACCCTGGCGACCGAGGGCTGCCGGCTCCGCTATCAGAAGAGGACGCCTCATCAGGAGACCGGTCGGACGCGACTTCCGGCACAGGCCCATCGAAGAAAAGGTCTTCGCGCCGAGCGCGATACACGGCAGTGTAAAGCTGCCCAGCTGTAACTTCGTGAAGACCAGGGCCTGCAGGCCGATCGGTGAGCACGACCTCCCAAAACAGGGGCGCAAATTCACTGAGTTCGGCTTCCAAGGCATCGAAATCAAGAGACCCCGTGGTTTCACGATAGTGCCATCCCTGCAACAGAGGCCGACAGTCAATGACAACTGCACAGGCAGACACACCATCGGCATGTATGTTGGCACCGCCGACAGCGAGGACAGCACGGCAGACATGGCCGTACACCGCGCAGTCGTTTATCCTTGGTCGTGTGGGCACAAGATTAAGTCGGTCGACAGAAACCCCACAAAGGCTCGCCAACTCACTGCGGAATGTCCAAGGCGCAGCAGGATTGGCCGTAAAAAGCGAGTGCCCTCGCAAGGTGGCACAGCAGTAGCAGGGTGCCACGACCTGTGGAGGAAAGGCCGTAGTGGGTGCCCATGACAGTGCCTGGCGGAGCAGGGACTTCAAAAAGAAAGTCTCCGGCCGTGGAGCTGCCCAATCGCAGATTGTTAGGCACTGTCCCGGAAAGATCCGGCATTCATGAAAATCCGGGAGTGGGTTGTCCTCAAAGAAGTTCCAGACGTTGACACGCGAGGATTCTGGGATCCCTGCAAGCCAGAGGATCGAGCGCCTGGAAACAAAGGGTGCACATTGCGCCGCAAAAAGCCTGCCATCGTATGACCTCGCGTCAAGGATAACAACGGAGGCCTGCGGGTCCCACAGAGGGAGGGCAAGAACCAGACCCCAACGGTCAGAGGGTTGAGGCAGAGCGGGCACCAGAACAGGAAAGCATCTCTGCCTATGTGAGTCGCGCTCGGCCTGCAACAGCTGCAACACATGATCCTCCTCGGCAGGAATGTGAACAGAGACGGAGACATTCTCCTGAGTGTACCCCGGCGTAAGGATGGCAAACGAAAGAGGGAGCATCACCGGGAAAGCGGCATCTTCGTCGGCAAGCATGGGGGGGGCAAGAAGCAGCCGCTCCTCAATGCTGGCTGCGTCGGCATACCTCCATGCGAGACCGATATCGCGCGCGAGATCGCGCAACAGCGACAGGGCATCCGTCCGGGAACCTTCGGTGGTGGCAGGCCCAACCAGGAGCTTGGCTCGCAGGCAGGGCGGTGGGGGAGAAGCCGCACACAAGGGCTGGTCTTCAACTCCAGCCCGAACCAGGGGGTCCGGGCAGGGAGCACCATGACAGGGCTCACTGCAACAGACTGGAGTCAGCGGGCCAGGAAGCTCGTGGTCAAAAGGAGCTCGATCATCGCGTCCATATGGATCTGGTTTCGCTCGGCTGACGGTTGCATCATTTCCAGCAGGCAGGGGAGCTCGAGTGCGGCCTCCCCCATGCAATGCTGCGTTATCAGCTGCTGGGCCTACCTCAGCCCCTGGAGAGGTGTGGCGAGACCTGGAGGAGGTGCAGGAAGACCCACTGCTGTGAGTGTCGTCCCCGGAAGATTCATGGCCGTCGGTAGTGATACTAGTCAGGGCAGAACTGGACTCGGTATCTGCAGGGTGGTCGATAAACACAAAGTCGACCGTAATGCAAAGGCCGTCGCACAAGTCGAAGGCGGCGCCCTCTGGCAGTGCAACCGGATCAACACCCGAAAAGGCCACACAAAGGTCCGATGGGCATAAATGCGCATAGCGCGCCGTGAGCTCCTGAACGGACAGCATCCGCGAAAGCTCAAGGCGCCAGGCAAGGCCCTGCAGAATAGGCCTTTGGTCAAAGGCCACTGCCACGGGCAGATCACCTGGGTCCCGGTATCGAGGTATTTGCGTGGTGGCAATGACGACAGCACTGGACCCCCAGCCTCGAGCGTCATGATCAGCAACGGGGGGCTGGATGGGTTTGAGCGCAATGAGGGATGGGTCGCATTCCAGAGCAGCCGCAACCTCAGAGCTGCGGATGGGCACATGGGCGCTGGCAACGTCAAGGCGTATATGCACACCATCAGAAAGCAACCAGATTGCAGGGGCGTAAGAAAAGGGAAGTTGAGCATTGGCATTCCACATGTCAGCACTGCGGAGCATCTGCTCAAGCAACAGACCACGCACCGGGTCAGAAGGGAAAGGGGAGATCCGGACGACAGCCCCATCAAACAGACGGACAGTTTGTCCGAGGTATAGGACACCATCGACGGTTGACGTCGCAACAAAGAGCCAGGCGCCCACGCCACATCCCGCGGCTGCAAGGAGGTCCTCACGAGTCAACTCACTAGGAACCTGCCCAACAAAGAGCTTACCGCTCCATTGTCGGCAGTCGAACACAACCGTGGCAAGACCATCGAGCCAAGCCGGCATGGCTATGAGCACAGCGTACTCACGCGAGGGCTGGGGAATCGCAGGGAAAACCCTCGGAAATCTTCTCCGGTCGTCCTGTGCCCGAACAGACTGGACCTCACGGATGGCAAACTCGAGAGCACATGGCGTGCGCAGAGCCAGCACTTGGCAATCGGGCTTGTAATCCGGCGTCATAACAACGAAGATGCCATGAATGAAAGCAGGGGGCAACTGCGCGGGGACAGGCTCTGGCCGAGGTCGAAACCAAGTAGGCGGCACAGGACGGATAGGCTCACGATCACCCCGGTCTCGCAGCGGGTGGCCCGCAAGATAACGATCAACAGCAGTGGGCACATACTGGGAACCCGCAGGAGTAGGATCAGGCACCCGGTGGGCAGTTGGCCCTTTGCAAGCTAGGACGGTGCTGAAAACCGTCTTGGGGGAAACAGTAGAGCCAAGGCTTGGCATCAGTGCCTGAGCAGTTGTGCTGCTATCATCCCTAACGCCCGTGGCTCTACCGAACAGACCAACGAGGGCATCAGGCCGGCATATAGCAGCAATTGAAGCAACAAGGGGCTTGATGTTGCAACGAAAAGAGACGGAAACCGCCAGGCCTGAGAGCCTCTCTTCAAAAACGGCGAGGGCGGCCGCAGGGAAAGAACCCTGAAAGGAATGATCAGTCGAGGGGGAGGGATGCTTGTCACTGCGATTCCTCGATCGAGACCTCGTGCTGACATCATCAGTTGGGGGCTCCTCCTCATGGGCCTCATCGCCCTCCTCTCCGTCACGATCAGAACCCTCAGAGGAGCTATCATGCTCGGAGGAGGAAGAGAAGGCATCAAAGTCAGGGTCGAAAGCCTCACGGGGAAGGAACCCGAAAACTAGAACCTCCCCGGATCGAACAGAGATGTATTGCTCGCGCTTACGCCCTCCCTGAACAACTAAACGCCAACCGGCGGGCGCCTCAATCGGTGAAAGCCGCCGAAGCTCATCATAAGTAAGGCGGCTGGTCGAGAGGCGGGCAAATTGTGGTGAGCCGGCAACCTGGCGGAGGTCAAGTAGGACAACCGTTTCCTGGGAGCCGTCTGGGTTCTTTTCAACAAGAGCCAGGACACTTCGGACGTTAGATCCCCGATATGACAGGTGCTCCAGAAAACCATCAGGCGGTGCATGGAAGGTCACAGAGTTCCGATCAACACCCACAAAGGTCGCTGCTGCAACGTCGACCGATCCTAAGGCTGGATCGTGTCGACTGAAGAGGGAACGGCCCGTGTGATGCAACAGCATCACGGCACGTGGCTGCCGTACGGTGGGGAAAGCTGGAGGAAGCGGCCAAGCTTCTCTTCGTTGCAGCCGCCATTGAATACCTGGCATGGCGTCGGGCCCATCATCATGACGCACAAGCTTGAGAACATCACCGTTATGTAGCCAAACTGGCTCATCATCAGTGATAGGCTCCAAACTATCCCCAACGAAGAAGCGGCAGCCGGCCGGCATGGAGTACAGGCCCGCTTCCCTGAGCATTTCACTTCTCGTCGTTGGACGTGTAAGAAAGCACGCAGTAATGGGGCCTTGGCAACCGGGCTGCATACGGCTGAGGTCGAGCACGACTGCCGTGAGACCGGCATACGTTGTCCACTCGGGGTACACCAAGAAGACCAGGCAAGAGCGCCAAGGTTGAACACTGGCAGCGATTAATGAATCGCTAAAGGGGAGGCGCAGGAAGTCAAGTCGCCGTGAAACCTGGCGCTCTATATCCCTCTGCTCACATGGTAACTGCGCATCGAGCTCCAGGCACTCAGGCGCAAAGAAAGGGGAGACCACATATGCTCCAATTCGCACTTCTACAGTGTCGGCTGCAACCGGCAGAACGAGAGGGCGAACGGCAGGTGGGAGAGGGTCCGGTCGGCTGTCCCCGCGCATCCATGGCCAGCCAGCGGGCTGGTCTGACCACTCCTCTCCAGGCTCATCCGGAAATAAACCCGGGGGCATTGCACTGACAGGCTCTGGCAAGAGCGCAACGCTGAAAAGGCTAAGCAAGAGACGCCAAAAGCACGGCGAGGCCAACTTGCGCGCCCTTGCATTGGTGGTCCGCGTGGCTGGGCGTCGGCAGGAAACAAGGCCAAGACCGACAGAGAGTTGCCAACGCGGGGAGCTGCAAATCCCCAGTGGTATCAGCACCGACGCAAAAGAGGGAGGGCGCATTGATCGCACTGCAGACACCGTGGCGCAATGTCGAGCGCGCGAGGGTGGGAGCATGAACCAGCCCAAGAGCAGTAGAAGGCAAAACCCCACGCCAATTACTGCCCCGTGAGCCCTGGAGACAAAATCATCGAAACCGAAACCTTGATGCACCCAAACGCAATAAGCCAATGCGGAGGCGAAGGCACGGTAACGCGGGAAGACGGCCTCAACGACGAAGCCTTGGGAGGTGCCAGGGTCGGGTGTGGTGAGGAACTGCAAAGACCGCCCCCACATGTTAGCACCAAGCTCAACCGCACCCGAGACGGCACAAGTGGCGGCCAAGAATGCAAGCAGGGTGCACAGAACCCCCACCCAGCACGCGGAGAGGTGCAAACCCAAGTCAGAGCCCTCAGTCTGTTGCGAGAGGGGCCAAGATGGCAGGTCCCTAAACCCAAGATCCAAAGAAACCCCAAGGGAGGAACAACGGGACTTAGGGCCCTCCTGAAGTGGGCGTGCCGAAGAATCCGGTTGGCAAGATTGCAGACGTTCTCCTCGGCCAGCACAGGCAAAGGAAAGCGAGGAACCTAAACCAAAAGGGCAGGGCACAGGATGGGCTAGGGAGAGGCCCCTAAACCACAATGGAGGTGGAGCGCAGATGCCAGGGAATGTAGTCCCAGCATCCTCAACACAGCATAAGACAGTCCAACGTCTGGTTGTAGGCCCAGAGCCACCGATCCTACTATTAGGCACCAGGAAATGGAACTGCCGAATCAGAGCCACAGAGAGCGGCCCGCAGTGTCCTATGGTCGAGCACCTCGCACGGGAGTGCGACCATGGCAGAGAGGGACTTGAAAGAAGAGTCGCCTCAGCGTGAGAGAGCAGTCGCAGGCCCGGAGAAAACGTGGAAGATGCAGGGGGCAGATGGAGGCGATGTGGCATACTGTACAGCCGGCAGAGCTCGGAAAGCGCCCTACAAACAACTGTACAGTCGAAGCCCTCATATGTACAAGCAACGGCCTCACGAAGCACAGAGCTAGAGGGTGGTAGAGCAACAGACCCACCGGCTTGCCCGAAGGGAGGCTCCAGCATGAAGGCAGCTGAACACCCAAGCAGCTGCACAACACGCATCTCGCCCGCCAGGCGCCGTGGGGGGTGTGTGCTCACCATCCTCCGCCAAGGCTTCGTTAGGAAGTTGCACCCTGTCCATCCATAGGCCCGTGTCCACTCGGCTGAGGAGGGGGCTCGCCAGCATCCTGGGCCGCATTTGCAGTATCCAATTCGTCGTCGGAGGCGATGGGGATCTGCTGTGCGACACCATTGATGCTGACAAAACCTGGGGCCGGCGGCGGTGCGGTTGGCGGCAGACCAAAAGGCCGCATGGCCACACCACCACCTACACCACGCTTCTGTTCCACACGGGCTGCCAAGGAGAGACCATCCGGCTCCCGGCGGTCCGACACAGGTGCACCGGTCTCGTAAGGTTGTACCCTGGCCGATGGCGATGTCGACGGGCCTTGTGCCTTGAGGTATGCGCTGCTGGGTGAACCTTGGTATCGATCGTGCAGGACCGCGCCAAGGTAGGGGTCCAGACCAGGGGCCACACTGGCAGCACGCATCTCGTCCGCCATACGCAAAATCTGGGCCTGAATGCCAGGTGGTGCCAGGAGAGGATTTGCTGGCAAAGCCTGAACAGGAGCAGGAGCCGGGGCAACACCCGGGCCCGGCGTTGCAGCATCTGGAATACCAAAGCCAGGAGGGGCACCACAGGGCAGTTGGGACCTCATGAGTCCCTCCGCCGCATCGGCATGGGTCATTGCCCGTTGCAGAACACCATGCAAATCGGTGCCCTCGTCTTGCTCCCACGTCGAACGAGTGCGCTCCCATTCCATATCCTCCTCGGCAGCAGTCTCTGCCTGGGCCACAGGCTGGCCATTCACAGTTTGGCAAACTGCGCGTCGGGCGACATCCTGAGCCTGCAAGGCTTCCGTGATATCCTTGCTCAGACGGTCCATGTTCGCAGAGAATTTCTTCTTTTCGCGTATGAACGTCTGCTTCAGCTCGGCATCGTAGGCTTCCCATTGCCGACGGGCGCGGTCTCTGTGAGCGATGAGCCGCTGCACCCGTAATTCGGCTTTCCTTGCCATGTTCAGCACAGGCTGAAGGCCCATGACCGAGCCCTCTTCGATCGGTGTGCTCGAGGGCTTGCCAGCACCCTTCCCAGGCCCATTGGCAGGTTCTCGAACAGTCATAGATTGATATGTAGGAAACTTCAAGGGAGCAGGCTGCTCCTTCTCGTGCTTCCCCTTGTCCGCATAGGCACGCCAGGGACGTTGCGAAGGAGAGTAAGCTCCACGCCACAAATGGTCTCGCCATTGTGGATCCTCCACGTCCTCTCTGGCCTGCCCACCTCGCTTGGCCTTTGAACGACCCATCGAAGAAAGGAGCCGTTTTCGAAACTCCGGACAAGTCGCGTGATGCGACGCCAAAGCCGAAAGTCTGGTCCAGGGGACCGGGCGTCCTTGTCGAAGGGAGGCCCGGGTGCGAGCTCGTCTGGCTCGTGCACGCCTGTGCCAACCAGGAGATCGCTTGTGCAACCCGATGGCGCGGGGACAAGCTACGCCGCACTAAAGTGCGTGGGGCAAAAGTCTTCCGGACCTCGCCGGCTATCTCGAGCCCTATATATATTATATATATATATATATATATATATACATATATATATATATATGGTCACGCCCCCCCCCCCCCATGATCCATACCATGGTTTTTTCTACCTCCTGCTGCTCATGCTTCGATTTCTACATGAATTCACCTACATACAAAATCATCGGTATTTGCGGTATTTTCTGCACCTAGCATCTACTTAGCTCTACATGTTGTAATTTGTTCTCACATGTTATATCCCCCCGAAACCCGAAACGGATTCTGATTTCACTTTCGGGCTCCGCTCTTCCATCCAAAACCTGGCACTCCATGTTTCAGGAGGCATCACCGGTGGTTGTGCAAAAACTTCAACATGTCGCCGGTCACTGTCGCTATGTTTTGGTGCCGATGCCAATACTCAAACTGGCAGCTTCGAATCTTCCTGGTCATTGCCTGATTGCCTGGAAAGCGTGACACATACTTCAAGTGTGTTCATAATATTACAGTACTACCGCTAATACTACTACTAATACTTGTCACAATATTTACAATAACATCAATATTTGCAATAGTATTGATACTCCTACGAGTACGAATACATAAACGCTTGTGGTGTTCACAATAATGCTATCACCAACACCGATACGGATATTGATAATCTGTTGAATATTCATGAATGCCAGTACTATTACCAGCATGAACATTTATATTATGGCTAATACGACTATGAATAGTCTTAATTCTAATTTCAACATTAATACTCCTACGAATACCAATAGTATATTCGTATTGATATGAATACTAATCTCTTTTCTAATAGACACCTGCATATACTAATGTACATAAAAATCATACCACTGTCTTAAGATACAGGTATATACATTAGTGCATTCATGCACTAATGTTTTGGCATAAAAATATTCCCATATACCAATGTAATAATATACTTCCCGTTAATGTATGAATATACTATACTAATATGCGAGTGTACTAATATACGACAACTGCAATATGCAAGTATAACGACATGACAAATTAGTAGACTAATATGCCAACATACTGATATACTTGTAAATATGACCAGACAATACATGAATATAGCACACATACTAGTAAACCAATACACCAATATACTAGTGTACTCGTGCATCAGTTGTACTAACATATCAAATATACAAGTATACAAGTATACAAATATGTTACTGTTTGAATTCATTAATAATATATTGATATACTAGTCTGCTACTATACGAAACTATCAATATACTAACATATCAAAACTAGTTCTAGTATTGATACTAATACTAGCACTTCTGCGAATATAAGCTGCGCTTAAACCCAACATTAAGACTGACACTGATGCTAGCAGTGGTGCTGTATTTCTGACATTGGCATTGGCACTAGCGCTAACTCTAACACGAGCATGAGCACTGACACTAAATTATATTTACTAATACTGACATGTATACTATTACAGCAAACACTAGTGCTAATATTATTAAGAACAATACTCATCCTAATATCGATACTTCCACAAAACTATCACGTAACTCATGTGCCGCGCGTCTGGTGCATGCGTCCTCAGTACATGGCATGTCAAAGTATATGTTGTATATCTATTGCAAATGTTTTACTTTACAGATTGTCGTCGGGTGTGGTGTGCTTTGATACAATCTCTCAAGGAATTGGTGGCATCGAGAGCATCTTGCAAGGACATGTCATCCCCGTCGCGGATCATGCTGGAAAAGAGGAAAAGAGGGACACAAACGATGACTTTCACTCGTGAGAGAACTGCAAGGGATATGTCGTGGAACATACTGCACCTTGACATGGCATTAAGACAAAGCATATGCTTTGTGTATACACGTGACAAACAAAGACATAATTTGAACACAGCATCCAAGGTTTGCAAAAGCCGCCTGGCTCGAAAATCCCCAAAATTTGTAAAGCCTGAAATGCGAAAACATCGGCAGGGATCAAAATCACCAAAATTCTCAAAATCGTGGCATCTATGGGGCCATGGGTGTTTAGTTTTGCAAAACTTTGGGGATTTTCGAGCCTGGCAATGTTTTAGCATCCGACGTTGACGAAATGCCGCCAGGCTCGAAAATCCCCAAAAATTTGTAAAGCCTCAAATGCGAAAACACTGGCAGGGATCAAAAACCACCCAAATTCCCAAAATCCTGGCAACTATGCGGAGTGCGGGGCCATAGTCTCTCACGTTTTGGGGATTTTGGGGATTTTTGATCCCTGCCAGTGTTTTCGCAGTTCAGGCTTCAGGAATTTTGGGGATTTTCGAGCCTGGCAGTGTTTTAGCATCCGACGTTGACGAAATGCCGCCAGGCTCGAAAATCCCCAAAATTTGTAAAGCCTGAAATGCGAAAACACTGGCAGGGATCAAAAATCCCCAAAATTCCTAAAATCCTGGCAACTATGCGGAGTGCGGGGCCATAGTCTCTCACATTTTGGGGACTTTGGGGATTTTTGATCCCTGCCAGTGTTTTCGCAGTTCAGGCTTCAGGAATTTTGGGGATAGTCGAGCCTGGCAGTGTTTCAGCATCCGAAGCTGCCCACCTCCCATGATCCACTGCTTACCAAAAGCAAGCATAGTATGGATCATGGGGGGGGGCGTAAGCATATATATATATATATATATATATATATAGGTATATAAATATACACATGTACAATGCGCATATGTATACAGATATATATATATATATATATATATATATGTTTATATCCGTATGGTCCGATTCAGGTAGATCAAGTCACGGAGCGGACGAGCGAGCTGATTGCTGGGTCACTCAGACGTCGGCCGGAGTCCTTCACTAGGGGCAGCACATGTGTCGCCGGGATGGCCACCCTATTCGGAGCCTCAGAAGCAGATGTCTTCGGATGTCTTCCTGAATCTTCCGATGTCCAGATTGATGCGGACTGAGTTACCACAGCCGCCAAACAAGTTGAAAGTCGCAGCAGTAGGCCTGCATCAGCATGGCCCGGCTAAGAGACCGAACCTCCCAAGTTTCTGCCGAGGTTCCAAGCAGTTCTACACACGGGGCACGAGCACCAAATCCTTTGAAGGATGTGGGAAGTATCTGCTCAGAAGCGCTAGTCCCTTGCCTTTTCAGGCCATGCTTGACGCGGAGATGTCTTCGACAAAGGATCGGCCACTTGAGGCGCCTGGCATCGTCTCCGGGTGGGATGTTTTGGTTTAGGGGTTTAGGTTTTACTGAAAAGGGCAGCAAGCAAAGACTCGAGCAAGCGATTCACTAAGGCGTCTGATGACTGATGGTTTTAAGCTGATGCCTTGGCTGGGAGTACAGCCAACTTGGTGTCGTTGCGCCTCTTATGCTATTGTGATGAGGGCAGAGCTGGTTCGAGGCCATAGATTAGGACCGCCAGGGCAAAAGAACAGACAGTGGGCTGCAAGTCGTCGGCGCGTGCCAGGCGCGGCGGCGAGTCTTTAAAGATCTGCAGCGTCGGGAACCCTGCAGAAATGGATTGTGCTGGACATCTGGGTTGGGTGGCACAGATGCTAAATTCAGTCGAAGATGCTTTCTTCGAAGCACCACTTCGCCATCAGCACTGCAGCGATCTGCCGCGACATGTGCAGTAGAAGATAGTATAAACATGAATCGAGAGTGTCGCAGATGTGCTTGCTAACTTCCATGGAGGCCAAGGATATGTATGATCACACAGCCGGTCCTGGGGGTATGTATTCTATAATCTGCACAGCCGCTGATATGACTCGGATGATCTTTAAGGTTTAGGGTTGGGGGTCGTGCTGATCCTTGAGGGCTGTGTTGGGGCCTTTCCCATCCTTCGTGCACTTGAGTGCCTACTGAACAGGCTATATGGCAACTTTCACAACTCTAAACTCCTAAAGTCCGAGTTGCGCGAGCGTAAGTCCCTTTTGTCCTAAACCTCAAACAGCTAGTTATCAAACTTATGGTCCCATTGTGGGTCGATATTATAGTACGGCACCTACTAATTAGGGTACCCAAAAAGGGACCATTATTTTGACAACCACCGAAACCGAGGCCGCTTCCATCCAGCCCGGGCGCAAGATTCTCTCACGAGCGTCGAGGGTTCATCAAGTCTTTTTCACTAGGCATCCGTTGGATGTAGTGGTTGTGGATAAGGGAGATTTGTTGATTATTATCTAACCCCAGGCGTCATAGTTCAGCCTTCCCCGAATCTCCTACAAACAGTTGAGGCCTGCCCGGCGTAGAAGAGGGAGGTAACCGGTGTTTTCACACAAGACCAGGTCACAACTGCACAGCTGCAGCCGCAACGTTGCATGCATGGTTACATGGACTCTGATATAGACTTAGTTTACCGAAAGGGGGATGATAAAAACAGGGCTGAGATCTTGGAACTTCCCTGAGACTCCTGGCCAAGGATAAGAACCCTGCAGAGGAGCATGCTGCCTTGGCCTAAGCTTACGCCCGCCCGTTTCTGTGGGGTTACGATCCGAAGCCAAGTGATGTGGAGCATGATATATGGACAGGGCTCCGGCTCTTAGGATTTCAATTTTCAGTTTCGCGATACCGACGTCTAGGCATGTGTTGAGAGCATCGCCCCCGCGCGAGGACGTAATAGGCTACCACCTCCTCATTGAAGTGGATATGGGAGTTTCCGAAAATAGGGGACCCTATATAGCACCCTAAACAGTAGGACCCTTATTATAAGAACCCCAAAATATGGTACCCCTAATTTTCGGAAACTCCCAAAAACCCATGGCCACTCCGCAATCCACCAGGCCTCATCTTAATCTCGTAAACATCAAAGAACAGATGCCTTTCAATAAGCGAACGACCTTGAGTTGAGTTTGCCCGGACGTGTTACTCAAGCTTCCTCATGTTGTGATCACAGGAGTTATGGCATACATGCATACATGCATACATACATACATACATATTAGAGATACCGTGTTCTGTTCCACACGCAACTGCATGTGTACATAGAGACATCACGCATGTATACCGAGCTAAAGCACTGCTCGAAGAACTTTGAGCAGAAGCTGATCGTAGTGGCGTTCCCCAGAAAAATAGGCAACATTTGTAGATAAATAGACACATGGATAAGCAAGGATGTGTGCCTGGAGGGCCTACAAGCGCCTGCAAAGATCTTACGCATATGGTCCGCATGTCATGTATATACGAGTTGATTTCTTTTTTTCTCTCTCTCTCTCTCTCTCTCTCTGTCTCTCTCTCTCTCTCTCTCTCTCTCTCTCTCTCTCTCTCTCTCTCTCTCTCTCTCTCTCTCTCTCTCTCTCTCTCTCTCTCTCCTCTCTGTCTCTCTCTCTCTCTGTCTCTCTCTCGTCCTCTCTCTCTCTCTCTCTCTCTCTCTCTCTCTCTCTCTCTCTCTCTCTCTCTCTCTCTCTCCATTCTTTATTTACACACACACTCTCTACACACACACACACACACACACACACACACACA